CCAAGACCGCCGAAGAGGCACCCCAAACGAGCCCCAAGACGGCCCGGGAGAGCCTGAAGACTGCCCAAGAGCAGCCCAAGACCGCCCAAGATAATCCCAGGAGAGGCACACGATGGGCCCCAGAGCGGGAGCGGGAGGCCCCAAGGCGCTCCAGGACTGCCCAGATGATCCCGACGTGGCCCAAGAGGAGCTCAAGACGGCAAACACACAGCCTAAGAGGCCTCCAAGATGGCTCCGAGAGACGTCCCGAGAGAGCCCAAAGAGGCCCACATCATTGATTTGCATTGTTCGATATTTTCCGCTTTCTCGCGTTCTCGAGCTTCCAAGCTCGAAGACGGCCGAAGACGTCCCCAAGACCGCCCCAAGACCGCCGAAGACGCCCACAAAAGAGCCCCAAGACGGCTGCAGAGAGCTTGCAAATTGCCCATGAGGAGCCCCAGACGGCCCAAGAGGCCCCAGCCCCAGGACAGGCCCAAGCTGGGCCACAAAGCGGGAGCGGGAGGCCCCAGGGCGTTCGAAGACGGCCCAGATGGCCCGGGCCTCCCCCCTCGGTCCTTCTTTCCTTCCCGCGCCTTCCCCTTGCCTCCATTCCCTCCTCTCTCCTCTTTCTCCCCTCACCCCTCAGCTCTCGTGCTCCTCCTCTCCTGGGACGGCCCCGCCAGAGCGCCAGACAGGCCCCGCCAGAGCGAGCGAGGCATCGCTACACCCTATCGTTTCACACGTTGCTTTGCCCCTCCCACCCCTCAAGGGCGGCCCCAGCAGAGCGAGAGGGGTGTTGCTGTACCATATACAGTCCCTGTTCGTTCTGGCTTCTCCCACCACACCCGAGGGACCCCCGTCAGAGCGCACGGGGTGTGGATATACAATAATTATCCTTAGGTTTCGTGCTTCCCCCTCCCCTCCAGGGGAAGCCCCGCCAGAGCGCCAGGGAACCCCCGCCAGAGAGAGCAGGGCATCCTTACACCATACTCATTCATGCGATTCTTGCTCCTCCCACCCTCGCAGGGCGGACCCGCCCGAGCGACTAGGGTGCGGCTGTACTATACAATTTCTCTGGTTTCGTGCCCCTCCTTCTCTTCCTGAGAGACTTCGCCAGAGCGCCAAGAACTTACCGCCAGAGGCCCCGTCAGAGTTCCAGGAAGCCCCATACATGGGATTTACCAGGCAAATCATTGAGCATTCCCCGTGAGCCCGAACCTTCGCTTCCCACGGGTGCGTTTATCGCCGGCATGAGGTTTGGCGTCCAGCCCAAGGAAGTCCCCGCACAACAACTGATTGCAGAGAATGACGCTGATGACCGGGACATCTGCGCGCGCCCTCCGCAGATGCCTGACCGCTGAACGACCGCTGGAAACGAGAAGCCTGGAGCACAAGGAAGAGGAACAAAACAAACAAAGCGCCCCCACGCAACCGCAACGAGACCCCGAGCCACCCCCAATATCAGGAGCCGGCGGGTGATTGCGTGATCGGGCATGGGGAGACCGAGCAGATGCGTAAAAGCATTGAGTGTCACGACGGGGCAGAGCGGAAGTGAAAGTGGAGGAAAAAATGTGATAAACCAAACAAGAGCGGCAGCGATATTGTGAGGTACCCGGGCACGTGGCGCCCCGCGTTCTGATTATGCGCTGCTTGCGTCGATGGCATGGGCCCGAGAACGCTGGAAATCGTCGTTGTGGCCACAGCGGGGCTTACAGCGGCATCCGTGGCCCATTTGCGACTAGAACCTAAGCGCGCATAGCGCATCTAACGATACAGATATATATATATATATGTATACATACATGTGTATATATATATATAAATATATATATGTATATATATACATATATACACATATACATATATATATATATATATATATCAGAGTGAGGGGCCGAACGGTCATTCATTGTCCCTGGGCGCGTGGCTGACTAATGAATTCGACTTGGGAGTTCTTCTTGTCGCATTGTTGTTGTAGTTGTAGTTGTACTTATTGTAGTAGTAGTAGTAGTAGTAGTAGTAGTAGTAGTAGTAGTAGTAGTAGTAGTAGTAGTAGTAGTAGTAGTAGATGAAGATGATGCTTGTTGATCCCCCCGCCGGTGCATACTGTTCTTCCTCAGTCCAAGTGTGCCCCTCGACGCTCGCACCCTGTTTTTTTGATAGGGGAAGTCTTGATGCTCAAACTGTGCCCTTGGCTGCCCCATATTACAACATCAACGGCTCCCGCCTGAAACGTCCTCCAAATTTACTCAGGACCCCCGCTCCTGCCGATGACTTCCTCGCAATTTACTGAGAATCGGTGCTCCCGCTTGGACCCTCCTGGCAATTTAGTCAGGACCCCTGCTCCCATGTGAGACTCCCTCACAGTTTACGCAGGAATGGCGTTCCCGCTTGAGATTTCTTTGCAATTGAGTCAAGATCTCTTCGCAATCCAATCAAGACCCTCTCTCCCGCCAGAGAGCCCTTCACATGTTATGCTGGAATTGCGCTCTCGCCTGTGGCTCCCGTGCAATTTGTTCAGAAATCGCGCTTTCGACGCTCAGGAGACACGCTGCGCCAAGGACGCCGTCACACTTTACTTGGGAATCGCGCTCTCGCCATACTCAGGCATCCTGCTTGAAAGTCCCACCCGCCCGACCCGCCCGTCAGGGGATCGCCCGCCCGTCGTGGGCTCCCGCCCGAGACTTCCTTCAGGAACGGCGTGTTCGTTTAGGACTTCTTCGAACGTTCACGCTCTTACCTTCCTGCTCCTCCTCCCTCTCCCTCCTCCCTCTTCCCTCCGTTCCTCCCTTCGTTCTCCCTCCTCTCTTCCCTCATCATTACGCCTCTCTTCCCATATCCCCTCTCCCTCCTCTCCCGCCTCCCTTTTCTGCCTTCTCCCTCCCCTTTTTGTTCTCTCTCTCCCTCTTCCCTTTCTTTGTCTCTCTACCTCACTTATATATGCCTTTCGCTCTCTCTCTCTCTCTCTCGCTTTGTTTATCTCTCTCTCTCTCTCTCCGTCTCTCTCTCTCTCTCTCTCTCTCTCTCCCTGCCTCTAATCAACCGCCCCACTCTTCGCTCCTTCTCTCCTGGCGTGTTCCTTATTCCTTCGTCCCTCCCCTTCTCTTCATCCCGCTCTTTCTCGTTCTCCCTTCCTCTTTTTGCAGGGCTCGCACCAACTCCAATGGCGGGCACATGTACGCCCACGAAGGATTGTCCGCCCGTTCAGTTTTGCCCGCCTGTCGAAGCCCGCGCCCCCCCGCAAATAGAAACAATCCCTCCAAAAGAGGTGTGATCGAAAACAGAAATGGCGGGTATCGAAGGTGTGGGGAACTCGTTTTGAATGACACACGGGCAAGTTAGAACGAACAGTTTTATAATGATTGTTGTTGTTGTCGTTGTTGTTGTGGTTGTTGTTGTTGTTGTTGGTAGTGCTCGTGTTGCTGCTGTTGTTGTTGTTTGCTGTCGTCGTCCCACCCGCGACCCACCCGCGACCCACCCCGCGACCCACCCCGCGACCCACCTCGCGACCCACCCCGAGATCCACCCGCGACCCAATCCGCGACCCATCCCGGCGACCCACCCCGCGACCCACCCGCGACCTACCCCGCGACCCACCCCGCGACCCACCTCGCGACACACCCCGAGATCCACCCGCGACCCAATCCGCGACCCATCCCGGCGACCCACCCCGCGACCCACCCCGCGACCCACCCGCGACCCACCCCGCGACCCACCTTGAAAGGAGGAAAAACCACCCGGACTCGACAACGGATGTTTATTACGGCCCTGGGCGCTGATTGGACAGCATTGCCATTTCGATGAGTTCCTTGTGTGCGTTTACTAAACGGTTCTGTTTGTCGGGGTGATTATTTTGGGATGGATTTTCTGCCCTCTGCACCCGCGACCAATGTGCGATCCACCTGCGGCCGACCCACATTTGTTTAATGAAAAAATCTGCGCTTGCGGCGGGCTCGTTGTATACTTGGTGGAAGTTTGGCGATTGCGGCGGTTGTTTTTTTCCAGAGTCTCGTAAACTGCCGACGTCCCCACCGCCCCCCCATCCTTTTCCGCAGTGCTGCAACCCGCGTTACGAAACCCATTTCGTTGCAACCTGCGCGGTGCAACGTATGTTGTGCGAGCTCTCATGTGCAGGCTGCGTGGTGGAGTCTATGCGGTGGAATTTGTGTGGTGCAGTCCACGCGGTGCAATCTACGTTGTGCCATCCAGTGGGGCGACGAGGCGGCGTCGGGACGGCGACGGCGGCCACATAGCTGCCACGCCGACAGACAGGCCCAGACGACGGGCGGCGACGAGGCGGCGACGCGGGGGCGACGGCGGCAACATAGCCGCCAAACCGAAGACATGGCCCAGACGACGGGCGGCGACGCGGTGGCGACAGGCTTGCGACGGCGGCCACCAGCCAGACCGAAGACATGGCCCAGTTCTTGAGAATAGAAGTAAGAGCCCCAGAGTGCAACGAACTATGTGGGGAATGAGTCCCCAAGGCATGTGATGTCATACATGTGATAGGAGTCAACGTTTTCCTCGATCTGTTGTTAGCAATCGGTTGGAGCGACAACTATTGGAGCATTGTAGTACGAAGCAATGCCCAGACGACAGGCGCCGACGGGGCGGCGACGGCGAGTACATCGCAGCCAAACCACGTCTCATGCGCCAAACTTTTTTTGCTAAGAACTGACGTGTTCGTCTAAGTGGTGCCAGCAAATGATTGGATTGCAATCGATAGCGCTATAACCGATTGGGTTGCAATGTAACGGAAGGCCCAGACGACGGGCGGCGACGAGGCGGCAACGGGGCGGCGACGGCGGGTGCATAGCCGCCAGGCCAAGTTTCAGGCCCAGACGACGGGCGGCGACTGGGCGGCGACGGCGAGTACATAGCCGCCAGGCCAAGTGTCAGGCCCAGTTCTTTAGAAAAATAAAGAAGCTCTAAGTGCAAGCGCTGTTTGGGGAATATGTATGTCTGTCTAGATGTGTTGTGCACTGATCACGCTCGATTTCGCACATACATTGTTTCTCAGGCTGTCGCGATTCAGCATCGGCATCTGTGCCGCAGTTGCCGCCGGGCTCCCTCCCCTTGGTGCCGCCATGGCGCGCGTTGTGTACGAGCCCACGGCGGCAGCTGCAGCCAACCTCGAGGCGCCAGCCACCGATCTAGAGACTCTCAGCGAAGATGCCGACGTGGACCGGACAGTACGAGTTCCAGTCGGACGGCTGCTGCTCGGATGCACCGCGGCCGCGGGCATGTTGGCTTGCGTCTCCGTGTTGACTGATTCCCATCGGCGCGGGTTGGTGGGCAACAGGTCTCCGGACGGGGGCGATGCTATCTCCAAGCTGAGCGTCGACCCCGAGGTCGAAGACAGGACCGTTTGGATCAAGTCTAAAGAGCACGACAACATGTGTTTGTCCGTCACGGGGGGCGAGAACAAGAATGGCGTTCCTGCCCAGATTGATTTTTGTGACTCCAAGGACACGAGCATGCAGTTTCTGGTGCCCAAGTCATCTACTGGCTCCATCAAGTGGTACACACATTCGGTGAAATGTCTTCACTCGTCAGGTGGGGAGTTAATGTGGTGGGACTGCGACGCCGACAAGGTAGACCAGCAGGTGTTCAGTATCCCGGAGGGTAGCAGTGGACATATTGAACTTGCCAGCTCCTCAAGCTGCATGGCGGTTCCCACAGGTGGCGGCGACACCACTGGGTTCTTGGAGATGGGGGATTGCCAATCAGTGAATGCGGATTTCATTGTGGAGGATATCCCTGGGATCTGCACGTATTCTGAGTGGTCTGATTGGTCCGCGTGCACCGATAAGTGCGGCGGAGGTGTGTCCGCGCGATCCAGGGCGGTGGTCGCTCATCAGGAGTCCGATGATGGTGACGAGTGCGACGGCCGCTTCGAAACTCGCAGGTGCAAGGCGCAGAAGTGTGAGGCGGCTGCTTGATCGCCTAGCCGCATCCTTCGCGACGGATCGGCTGACGAATTTCCGATGTGACGCTTGGTGGAAGGTCGGAGGCGGAGGAGGAGGAGAACGAGGAGCATGAGGAGCAAGAGGAGAAGAAGGAGAAGGAGGAGGAGGAGAGTGAGGAGGAGTAAGAGAAGAAGGAGGAGGAGGAGGAGAAGAAGAAGAAGGAGGAGGTGGATGGGAAAGAGGGGGAGGGCTCCCTGCGCGTGGTGCGGGCGTCCGCAGCCAACGTGGTGCCAACCTGGTGACACCGCGGCAGGGCGCACACCCCCTACCTCCCTTTCCCTGGATGAGCGAGGAGGAGGACGAGGAGGACGGAGGAGGACGGAGGAGGAGGAGGAGGAGGAAGAGGAGGAGGAGGTGGACAAGGAGGAGGAGGATGAGGAGAAGTAGAGGAGAAGGAGGAGGAGGACGACGAGGAGAAGGACGAGGAGGACGGAGGAGGAGGACGAGCAGGAGGAGGAGGAGAAGGAGGACGAGGCGGAGGCGGCTCGCCCCGGCCCCGGCTCGGGGGGCGGCGGAGGCGGCGGGCGAGGCTCTGCTCCGGGGCGCCGCACGGGCCGTGCGGCACCGCCACACGGCGGCCGCAGCGCGGGCTGGAAGAGCGCACGGCCCGCCCCGGCCAGAGGCCGGGGAGCGGACGGGCAGGCGACCAAGAGGGGGCCACGTGCGAAGCCTACCCCTCTGCCCCCCACGAGTTCTGAGGGGGAGGGGGGGGGGGTTCGCTTCGCTCGGGGGAGCTCCCGAGCGAAGTGAACCCCGCCCTCCCCCCCGCAGAAATCGTGGGGGGCTGGGGGGCAGGGATCGCATGTGGCCCCCGAACCAGGCTTCGGGCGAATCGGCCCGGGCGAATTCAGAATTTACGACCTCCTGGCATGCGCCGGTGCACGAGGCAGGATCGTAGGCTCCGCGGCCTCGCGGGTGCCGGGCCCCTGGCCCGCGGCCCCGCGGAGGAAGGCCAAAGGACGCCTACCGCATTGTGATGATGCACGGGCTGCCTGGAGCCATGCAGGAGACGCTGGGCAGCAAATGTATCTAGCCACAGCGCGTCTTCACCTCCCGCTGTGCAATGTCCCCTTCCTCCTCCCCCCTCCTCCCCCCTACGCCTTCACCACTACTCCGCCTCTTCTTAGTGGGGGAGGGCGAGGAGGAGGGGATAAGAGGAAGTTGGCGACGAGAGAGGAAGAGGCAGGGAGGGAAGGAGGATGATATTGTGGCGTCCCAGGAGGGTTCTGGATATTTCTGGATGGTCGTAGGGGCATTTTGGAGCGAGGAGGAGGAGGAGGGGCTCAGGGATTGCTTCTTGGATGACATAACTCTGCTGCGCCCCAGGAGGTTTCTGAATATTTCTGGAGGGTCGTAGGGGTATTTTGGAGGGAGGAGGAGCAGGAGGGGCTGAGGGATTGTGACTTGGATGGCACGCAGGCCAGTTCCAGCTGGGTTTGGCGCCGTCCATCTCGGGCCTGGCGGCGTCACGTCCCTATCTGAAGTCATGGCCACCCATCCTGTGCAAGCAGATGAGGCCAGAGTAAGCGTGGTTGCGGGATCGTGCCGCAACGTCGATGCATCGGCGATGCGGTTCGATGCAGAGCCCGATTTTATCCGTGTCGACGTCGCCGATGCATCGCCGACGTCGCAAGGCATCGCCGATTCATCGCCGATGTATCGTCGATGCGGCGCGATCCAGCGATCCGAAAGTCTCAGGCACCCAGTGGCGGCGCGCGCACTCTTGGAGTCCTGAATCCTGAGTCCCGAGTCCTGAACTGGGGATTCGACGGTGGGGCCCTACGGGATGGGACCCTGATGGTAGGAAAGGCCTTCCTTGTTGAGTTCGCATTTTTCAGGCTCTTCTACCCTAGGTCCCTGTTTCTCAGGGCGCTATCTCCGAAGTGCCGAGAGCAGGAAGGACGAGAAGTATGTGGAGGAGGCGGTCCAGGGACGGGGAGGAGTTGCCGAGTGAGCAGCCGCATCGTCGATGTATCAACGATGCGATGAGGTTGTCCAACCCCTTGTGGGAGGTGGTACCGCCACGCACCCCCAGCGTCGAGATTCCGCGCCCCTGAACCAGACAGGGCATCTTGTTGGATAAACTGGGAGCAAGAGAGAAGAGGGAGGACGGCAAGTGCGATGAAGGAGGAAGAGAGAGTTTGGCGATGAACGGGACGATGCCAAGGAGTAGGAGGAGGAAGACGGGGGAGGAGGAGACGAGCCATCACGAGGAGGACGATGACGGCGATATTGGACGACACAGGAGAACAGTCGGCACGGTGAGGGGGTGGGGGTACAATGGGAGATTGCAGAGGAGGGCAGAGGAGAGGAGGAGGAGGAGGAGGAGGAGAAGGAGAAGGAGGAGGAGAAGGAGGAGGAAAGAAGGAGAATGAGGAGGAGGAGGTGGAGGAGGAGGAGGAGGAGCAGGAGGAGGACGAGGAGGACAACGGACGGGGATGATGAAGAGGAGGAGGAGGAGGAGGAGGAAGAGGAGGAGGAAGAGGAAGAGGAGGAGGAAGAGGAGCCTCTCGCCCGACGTCGGCCCCTTCGCATCCGGGAGCTCCCCTCCGTGCTCGGGCTCGAGCCGCGCGCGTCACCCCCGCCCCCTCCCAGGGCCGCTCGGCCCCGCCGCGCAGAGGGGGCGGGCCTCCGCGCCCGCGATGGCGGGGCGGAGCGCGGCGGCCGCCGAGGCGGCCGCGGCCGCGGGGTCAGGGGGCCTTGTCAGTCGGCCTGCTGGGGAGCGGGTCGGACGTGCAGGGGCCGTGCAGGTTCGGAGGTGCGTGGGCAGTCTGTGTCAGGAGGGGAAAAACACACAGACACAATTAATCGTCGATCCCCCAGAAAATATGGAAAAATATGGGAAGTGGGGGGGGGGAAGACAAAAGCCCAGAAAATATTGGAAAATATCGGGAATATTTCTATTTGTGTGTATTTATTTGTGTGTCACAAGGCCCCTTCACTGTGGAAGCGGAGGTGATGGGTGAAGTCACGGGCGTGCTGCAGCAACTCCTGTGCAGAAGCCCGGCGGGTCTCGGGAACAAGGCCGGGGAACGATCCCGCAGGAGTTGCCAGCGGGACCCGAGACTTGAAGGGATCGAGCCGGATACAGCAAGGAACATGCAATCAAGTTGAGGCGCGCACAGGTAAATCCTTCTTTCCAGGTCGGCCCGGGTGAATCCAGAGATCTCCCGGGACATTTGGAGCAAATCGTTGCCGCTCAAGCGCGAGTAGAGGGAGGGCCGATGTCGTTGAGCGCCATTCTGAGGGAAGACACGGTCGGGAATTTTGGCTTATCATGTACCGCCAGGCGGCAGCGACCCAATGGCCATGGGAAGCGAGGAGGAAGGGATTGTCGGGCATTGACACAAGCCCCACGCAGACGAGTCGATCGAGGAAGTCTGCACGGGCTCACTCGACATTGGCATACGGGCGTCTTGGTGAAGTCCTCGGTCGGCTCCGCCAATCGATGGTCGTCTCGCTGGACGCATTCACTTGTTTGCTGGCGTCGATTGCTGATTCCGCCCGGCTGCACTCGGAATGCGGTGCTGGGCTCACGAACCTAATGTATGCAAACAATGTTTGATCGTTCGAATGTCGGGTGAGGAAACCGCGCATTGCGCGAATTGGGGTGTCGTGAAAGCGTGCGTTTCACAATCATGTTGACTTGTTTGTCGATTCCTCTATTGGACGTGGGTGGTCGCATCAGGAATCCCAACTTGTTGTGGGAACCCAGAGAGATGGGGTATACTTATAAGTGTTCGTGAGGATGTTTAGCATGACGCCCATACCCCATCTTGCCTTTACCCCATTTCTCTTGGCGAGTTCTCGGCGTCGCTCACAACCATGATGGCCGGGGGATGCCGCTGCAGCCCGCAGTAGCGGGGTGATGATGGGCGCGGTGGCAGTATTGTGCTCCAGCAGCAGTTCGGACCCCCCCCCCCTCCCTGGATAGTTCGCTGGATAGTTCGGGGGCGGCGAAAGGGGCGAATAGCCCAGGGGGGAGCAGTGCATGTATCCAGAGGCGCCGGTGATCCGTGTCTTCAGCGAGGCTCCCGGAGGGTAACGTG